GATTTACGTTGTAAAAAAAGGAATAATTTCCAAATAATAAATAGGCATTAAATTCAATTATTTTGGACAGCAAAGTTTCATTAGAATTACTATCATCAATAAAAATTATTAATTACTAATTACTAAGTACCTATTTATTTTTGGTAAAATTTAGCCACTAATATTAGCCCAAACAATGACTCTTAATACCATTTTAAAATACCAACGAGATTAAAAACACAGGTATCCGGTAAAAATATCCTTTCGATAAAGAAATATGCCTCGTACATAAATATATTTTTTCAGCATCTCAATAACAGTCCAGAACTTTAAGCGGGACAGCTGGCTAAAGGTTTGTTATAAGAAAGTTTGAATTTTTAAGTAATTGATCATATGGGGTATTCATAGTCCCTTCTCTTTCGTTTCCATCACATTTTGCTGGCCGCTCTTCTGTGTCTACCCTCTCGAAGAATTCCACTTCTTCCTCTTGAACTCTAAAAATACCTTGGATTTCATCCATCTGTGCGAATTTGGATTCTTCCGATAGCATACCATTATTTTGTCTTGAAGAGCAGGTTTTAGGGCTTTCTTTATTTGGCGGGACAAATGAAGGTGCCTGAATTGGTATTGTCAAAGTTTTCTTATTCATAGCTCGTTTTATTCCAATACTGACTAGCTCTGTGACCTTGCCTGCTCCAGGCTCTTCAAGTTCTCGAACAGCCATCGGGCTCAGTATTTGATCGCAACCTGTGCGATCTTGTCTACTAGTGCTTTTATCAGACAAGTTACACCCACACCGACTGAAGCAGACTGCAATGCCAGCACGGACTTTTCTCCTGAAGCAAATAGAAGATGCCCAGTAGGCGAGGAAATTTATAGTGTTGTTGGTGAAAAGAAGAAGGTTGAGGCTTTTCTTGACAAGTTGAATGGAATGACTCTTTTTTTTTAATTCAGGACTAGGAAAATACTCAGTCCAGAAGGTAAACAATGTAGCAGGAAGAGTGCATATAACATGTATGAGAGTTAATGCAGTCAATATCTTAATCACATTTTCCGGTTTTCGTTTTTTGCATCTGCGCGATTCTGTAATTAATGCCGCCCCGCCTCCATGACTCGCTGTATCAATGATAACATTATTTGGTACATCACACTGCTGAGAGTTGTTTATCCCCTCTGTTGCTAGCCTATTTAATGGCAATTTATGTTCATCTTTTTTTGAAGTGCTCTTGGACTTATTGTTAGTATTCTCGTTGCTGCTAGAAATATTTTGACTTGTCCTATGTGTAAGAAGCATCTTTCGCTGTCGACACAGTTTAAAGTATATGAATACGTTACAGGAAAATAATATAATATATGGAAAGACTGAAAAATTGAGAAAATCATACTTTATATATGCCTTAAGCGCATTTGTGTATTCTCCTCCTAAGTGACAGACCAAGCCCGCAGAGGAGCCCTTGGCACCGGAATCTCTCATAATTGTTTGCGAGTTTTTATTGACTATCGGAATGGCATGAGATGATGTGATCACATTTCGTTGTGTTACATTCATAAAAAGCAGAAGAACCAGATTTTTCATGAAAATGCACAGTGTAAAGCATAACATGCCAATGATAATGAGAGACACTCGAACTAAAAGATTTGATTTTTGCGGAAATGCAACCACCAAGAAACGTTCCACAGCAATAGAGCACAATGATCCTACAGCAAAATCACTAGCACATGAGACGGCGAATGTATGCACTTTGCAAGCAAGAGAACTAGTATCACGTGGGTCCCAGTGAAAAACCGATGTCATCCAATAACGTAACACTGCGGTGAGCAGGACAGCTGTATCGGCCGTAGATAAAACGATCATTAATAGGCGCGTCGTCTTTCGTGTTGCCGGATCAGTCCCCATGATAATACCGCTTATTAAGTTTCCAGGCAGTCCGATGACTAACAATAATGTGCAGTAAGCACTGAGACAAGTCTCGATGATCTGGTAGCGATGAGGAGCAATCAGGTGTACTTTAGTATCCTCTATAAATAACCCAGTCCCGTTGGTGGACATAATCAGTTTCATTTAAGAAATAGGTGTATAGTACTGGCACGCACAGATTAAAAAACTTATTATCCTAGAGCCGACCCATCAGATATAGCGCCATCTTTGCTCTCACTAAGCAAGCATATGAAATAAATGTGAAAGCCTATCTCTAGAGCAAAATATATTGTCTGGTTTAGGCCAATCAAAGTGCGAGGATCGGATAACAAATAGGCAGCGTTAAAAGTAAATAAGTAAACGAAGTCTATTTAGGCTCAGAGCTATAAGTCGAAACAGATTTGAAATATTTTTTAAATTTATAAAATGTAGCAAAAAACATGTTTTCTTTGGAAAAAACATTAATAAAATTAATAAATATAGTATATTATATTTTATATGTTTGCGCTTCTTATTAATAAGCAGGAAATATTG